GTCTTCCGCCTCGTTGGCGTCGTGCCCGGCCGCGTCTTGGCCGCGACTCTGGCCGCCGCCATCACCGTGGTCTGCAGCGCCCGGCATGCGACGTCGAGTCTGTGCCCGTGCACAAAATTCCTGAGCGCCGGCGCCGTGCGCCGCGGGTGGCCGACCGCGCGTTCCACTGCGGCCTGAATTTTCCTACGAACGGGAGGCTGCCCATCGACCTCCATGCCCAGCGAGGGGAAGAAGTTGGGCGCCTGAAACTGGGAGTGGATCGCCGAAATCTGGGACTGAACGGCGCTGATAGTATCGACCATCGCGGCGGCGACGGCAGCAGCGATGGACTCCTGGTTCCCAGCCTCGATGATGAACATCCTCTCATTATGGAACGAACGTTCCTGTCGCGCACTTCCATGGTCGCGCGCATCGCCGAAACCTCTTGTTCGAAGTTCTGCTCTAATGTGGCCAATGTATTGTTGGTGTCACGGACGGTGTCGATGCTCTCGGTCAACCAAGAAGGTGCACCAGAGGGCGGGAGCGAGCACACACGACCACTGCGGTTGCGGCTGTCGCCGTCGTCGCTGCTGTCGACGCGGTGAGCAGGGACCCGTTGGCGATGCGCGATGCTGGGCTCGCACTGCGTGACGGACTGCTCGAAATCCTCGCAGCACGGCGGCCAGGTTTTTTCCCAGCAGCGCGAGGACCCATCAGCGCGGCCAGTTTAGGGCAGAGTGGAGTGGTGCGGGGAACGGTGAGATGCAAGTGATGCAACATGCCTGAACGAATCGTGGTTTGGCGCACGGCAAGGGACGGAGGCCTGACCTTTAATGGGACGCTTTGGGCCACCCCTCGGCAGTGTCCAACTTCGAAGCGCCATGGACGCACATGTTGAACTTGAGCCAAAATTGCTACGGAATAAACCAACCCCATGTTGAGGGGAGCGTCTTTTCATACCAGTTCCTGGAAGAAGCAGCCAGCATAGAGCGCCTTTCGAGAGTGTGAGGAAGCATCTGGCCAGGGCGCGTGGGAGCAAATCGCGAGGAGGCGCCTCTAACCAAGGACCCCGCACCCGCCGTATTCTTCCACGAGAAGAAAAGATACCCCCCTAGACAAAGCCTAACTCGAGAGCACAACCGCGAAGGACCAGAATCTCACTGAGAGTCTGATACAGGATCAGAAGCGGGATGTCACCGCATGTCACATAACTAAAGCCAGCGCACTGGCGCTCGCGCGCTCTGATGAGAAAACAGTTCACTGAAGGCGTGGAATGGAATACTACCTGAAAATAGGAGCCCCGTGAGAGACGAACTGTTGAAGTTGCCCGCCATCGACTGCAACCAATACATAGCCCCCGCTCTCGAGGACCAAGGTTTGTTACGCAGCTCCGACGGATTCCACCGGCGCATCCATAGTTACACCCAACTGCGTGCCAAAGGCTCGAGACGCTGGTCGATGGCTCACATACGGCTCATCGCCTCGTCCCAAATGCGCTGCATCTGCGACAACCTGAACTCAGCAGCGGCACTCCAGCCCTCCCAATCCTCGTCATCCACTGCGTGCGTTTCGCCAGAATCGTCAGCCGCAGTGGAGTCCTCTGCGTACGGGAACCCTCGCAAGCGCAACCATGAATCCACAGAAGGCTACTGGATCCGAGGGCCATTGAATGCCACATCGTTGACAGCCCTGGTGCCAGAGGGAGCACCTTCGCCCTCGTCGTCCGACTTGCCAGATGAGCTAGGCTCAGCTCTGGCGCAAAAATAACCGTCTTCGCCCGCGTCGGCCGCCTTACCAAATGGGCCAGGCCAAGCCAGAGCACATGAAAGTTGATAATGATAGTGTAGACCCGCCAATCTTCCAGGAGGGCAAAGAATTTCCCGAATACCTCGGTAAGAAAGAATGATACCGCCACTTGTAACTTGTGACTCACGTAGCAAGGCATCGACGAGACCGTAATCGTGATGCCACGCTGTATCAGGGCTGTCCCACGAGCCGCCATCAAGAAAAGGGTACGTGCACTCATACATGCCCTGATCCATGCAGATGTCGACAAGGCTGGTTTTGATTTCACGCACCTCCGCACTCAATGATAGGAGTAGCTGATTCACTCGCTCGAACAAATAATCCTGTACTGTTGCTTGTTGGGAACCTTTCGGACACATCTTTTCACCACAGTGGCAAATTCTGTAAGAAACAAGAGCGTCCCGAAGGAACGCGCACGCGTTTAACGGGAATCAGCAGGAGCGGGCCAACTCAGGCTAGCGCGTCCAAAGGGCCCCTGTCACCTTGAGCCAGCCAGCCACTTAAGCCAGCCAGCCATCTCGAATCTCCGTGGTGAGAAAAAACACAAGTCAACTTGAATAAGCTCCCTGTCAGGTTCTGTACCAGCCAGAATCACCAGAACACAGAAACGAACCACATGCCATCAATGACAACGACTTGACATACACTCCTTCTACAAAACTAAAACATGTATATATACACACATATAATATATACACATATCCGCCGGCCCCCTCAAGGGGCGCAAGGCTAGTGTCATGTGTTATGTGCTGTCATTTGTTGTTTGGCCTTTTGTCTCTCCAGTCCTGTTTCCTACCTCCTGTTTACTGTCTGCTAGTGGGCCCCGCCGCGCCACCAAACAGCCAACGGGGGGGTGAAGCTCAAATCCTGGCTGCTCCGGGCCACCAAAGGATTCTCATGGTGACGCCACCGCGTGGCCAGAACGGCCGGCCCGAGAGGCCTCCAAGATTGCCCGAAGAGGCTCCGAAGAGAGCCTCAGGAGCCCAAGACGGCCCAAGATGGCCCCAAGATGTCCCACGATGGCCCCAAGACGGCCATAGATGCTGCCAAGACGGCCCAAGAGGCCTCCAAGAGGACCCCCAAGAGGACCCCCAAGAGGGCCCCACGAAGCAAAAACCAACGAACCGAAAACTCGACCTTTCCGCCCCGAGAGGGCCCCAGGAGGCCCCAAGAAGGTCCAAAGAGGCCCCAAGAGGCCCCAAAGAGGCCCCCAAGAGGCCCCAAGGCCCAAGAGAGCCAAAATATACCCAAAAAGGCTCCAGAACGGCTTCCAAGAAGCTCCAACAATAACCCGCAGACGCTGCTGAGAAGCCTGCCACGAGAAGCACACACGACGCTATCCACGCAGCCGCACGCACTAGTAATAGGGGGGCCGGCGGCAGAGGGCGAAACCCTAAAGAGAGATAGAGAGAGAGAGAGATGCATACATTTACATAAACATATACAAATATATACACACCATGACCTCATTGGGTGGCAAAGCGCCCTGTCCCAGGAAAGAAAGGGAGGGGGTAGACGGGAGGAGATGGGACGGAAGGAGGCGGAAGAGGGCGGAGGGAAGAGGTAGGAAAGAAGAGGACGGCGAAGAGAAAGAGTCATGATGTGAAAGAGTTGTAAGGTCGGGAACAAATGATGACAATCGAGTTTCACCCCAGTGCGAGAGCTGACGGACCACTGTCGACCAATACTACGGCGCCTGTTCACCGACATTAACGCAAGCGGACATGGAGAAACATGGACGACATCGCAGACAAAGACGTACAAAGACGCAAACAAGGTATGCATGTGTAGGCGGAGCCGCAGAAACATCGGAGCACGGACGAATAGACCGCGGTACATAGATCGGTGAGGCGCACGGAAACAGGCGCAAGCGCGGACACACAGAAACCTGCGCAGAGACAGGCACATGCACAGGTGCAAATGCGGACATGGACATACACACGCACACACAGACAGATCGCACATTTGTTTGGCGTCGCTGCCCTGCGCGCGGCGACAGGGCGTAAGCAGGGTGGACCGACAAGGAGAACAAAAGACCGACCGGGAGAGCACTAGCAGGCGAAAGCCGGCGAAGCTGGGCGGAGCGCCGGAAATGGCGGTGGTCGAGAGAGCGGCCCTTGAAGGAGCGGCCAAGGCTGGCCCCCCGAGAGGGGGAAGGGGGCAGGCGGTGAGAGGAAAGGCGGGCTGGAGGCGGCCAGGAGTCGGAGAGCGGCAGGGCGGTCGGGAGCCGCAGCGGCGGCATTTGGCGCGGCGCACACAGACACACAATTTTTGGCGTCGCGGTCGTGGGCGCAGCGACAGGGCGGAGAAGGTCGTAGAGCAGCAAGCCCGCGCGCAACTAGGAGCGCCCGAACCCTCAAAGAAGGCCCAGGGTCCCGCAGCAGCCCGCCGCCATCAGTGGTCTGGGCCTGGATGACGGGGGGAGCGAATGAACACACACACACACAAATGAGTCCACGGCGCAGAGGGGCCTCACGCGCGGTGAGCACATGTAGATGCGAATTGCGACCGAACTTAGCAGAAGGGGTTGTGAAAAGAGAAAGTAAGGTACTGTAAAAACAACGCGAAGCGGCCAACAAACCGAGGAACGGAACGCTCGACTCAAGTAGGCTGCCACTGAAGCATCAGAATGATGTTAGGCAGTGAAGACAGTGACCTGTAAAGCTGCCAAATCAGCCGATGGAAGGGGTCGCGCTGAGAAAGCCACAGCCTGGCGAAACTGATGGGAAGGGTGCTACCTTACGAACCGGCGACGCAAGATGCAATAGCAAGAAAAGATGGAGTGCTAGACCTACAAGGCATGGCAGCACCACACCAGCGCGACACGAACAAACAAATAAGCGTCGCAGAAAGCGGACGCTGTGACAGCATAGATTGGTGGTGACGGAGTGGGCGAATAAAAACACACACACACACATCGGCACAGGAGCAGAGACAGGAAAAAAATATCGGGGGGAGACCGAACACCTCGCGCGATTGCCTTCACCACGAAGCCGAAACTGAACGCTCGCCCAAATATCCGGCGACTCGATTTCTCCGACTCATGGACCCAAAATTTCCCCATTGCAGGCCCTTCATCCTGAATACTTTTCTGATGGTCCTAGGGCCCAGAAACTGCCTCCACATGTGTAAAATCCAAGAACCGGCCAACACGATCTTTTCGAGTCGCCAGATGTCTGGCGAAACTGGACAATGGAATCCGCGACCCTGTGGTCCTTCTCGTCCTTTTCCTCGTCCTCCTCGTCGGCAGGAGCCTCCCCTTCGGCACCGCCAGAACACGCCAGGTTGGCCAAACTGTGCCACTGTGCCATGCCTGCTACCTACTGCAACAATTTCGCCTTCAGCTGTGGATTCATTCTCCACCCCCCTCCTCCCATGCAGTCTACTTCCTGCCACAAGGATCCCCACCACCGCCACCTTGCCGGGACCACTTCATAGAGTGATCTCGGATGTCTCCTACTCCTCTGCATGGAAGGGGTGATTTTTTTTCAAGAGACCCACAACCTTGAGCTCTTGGCAATCCTGGGTCCCCATTAGGCCCCCAAGACGGCCCGAGAGGGCCCTGAGTCGCCCCCAGATCTCTCCAAGGCGACCAAGACGGCCTCTAGACGGCCTCTAGACGGCCTCTAGACGGCCTGATAGGCCCCCACGACGCCCCATGACGGCTCAAAGCCCCAAGAGGGCTCTAAGAGGCCGAAAGAGGCCCAAAAAGGCAGATGGAAGGCAGATGGTCGGCGGTCGACGGTTCAATTAAGGCCGCACTTATTTAAAGATGTATGCAGCGACCTATATATGCAGACTTGGGTCCTGGATCGGCCGGGTTCTCGTCAAAGGAAGCTTGGATCAACTCACGCGCGCCAGCTGAATGCTCAGTCGTGGCAAACAAACACGTTTCTGCAAACCTGCGAGTGCGCGTCGACCGAGGCCCCGCATTGGGTAGCGCTGGCCAGTCAAACCATTGAGGGTCAGAAGACCTGCTCGTCCGAGGGCGCGAAGAAGAAGACAAATCAGAGGCGGAATTGTCGGACGAGTCCGATTGCCCGCTGGGGTCTCTGCCACGGCTTGGCCGTCCAGCCTTCTGCTGCTCCCGCCGTTGGCGCTTGTTCTCTTTATCTCTATGTTTCGTTCTCGTTCGGGACTTCTGTCCTCATTGTTTCTCTTTTTTGTTATGACTCTCCATCGCCATCGCCTGAAGGATCGCCAATCGCCATCGGACGGATCATCGTTTACTCAAGTTTCTGCATCCTGCTTCAACTGGTGTTAGAGCGCGTCGGTCGTTTCAGGGTCAAGAGACTTGTTGCCCTCCTTTTCTGCGTCATCCCGGTCTCCTGGGTGGCCGCCACCACATGGTGCGACCCGACCCCCGAGGCCCAAGACTGGGACCGAGATGGGGAAGAAGTTAGCAGCAGACCTAATTAGCCTGTGGTTAAATTTCGCCAAGAGCTACCTGTTGCAACATGCCACTTCATCAGCAATTCGTTGAACATACTCCGGCACGCGCGTCATGCAACACTGGCAATTCAACTTGAAAAGCCTCCAGCAGGCTGGTGTGGAACAGTTTGAGCAGGCTCCGCTGGGGCGCTGGAAGGGTCTCCAGCAGGGTCGGCAGCCTTCCGATATACAAAGCAACAGATCGAGGGGAGGCCATACTGATTAACTCAACGGGAGGCATCTTCGGCCAGAATCCTGTCGGCACGCGTAGCATCTTGGATTGTTGGCACCACGACAAGCAGCAGCCGTATTGCAAGAACTGGGCGCTCTCCCGAGGGACTGGCCCAGACCCAACGATCAAGGTGGAGGGTGTGGCTCTGCTGCGACCATCGATTATCCCGATTGCTGGGACGCTGCCGACTCCTGAGCCGTCTGCACCACGGCGAAGGCTGATCGGAGAATTGCCGTTGATGGTTTTGCCGCGCGATAGCGGCGTCTCTCTGGCCACCGAACGCCGCTATGCTTTTACATCTCGATGGCGCGTGTCCTTTTCACTGCTGACTCGGCCTCCTTTTTCAGAAACTCGGGATTCGGCATGCAACCACACTTATTTTTCGAAAGCGCTTTCTTAAGCGGAAGCTCGAGCTGCTTCTGCGTGGGCGTCGGTGGTTCAGGGCGTTTCCTCTTCCACCCCTCCTTCTTCCCCTTCGGGGAGGGGTTTACCCCTCCCCCTACCCCCTCCCCATGGACCTGGAGGGGGGGGGCGCGAGGTGTCAGAGCGTCCAAGATGGCCCCAAGAAGCGCCCAGGATGCCCCAAGAGGTCGCAAGATGGCCCCAAAATGGCCCCAAGAGGCCCCCAAGAGGTCCCCAGGAGGCCCCCAAGAGACCCCCAAGAGGCCCCAAGAGACCCCCCCGAGGCACCCAAAATGCTCCAAGAGGCCTCGGCGAGAATGCCAAAACGGCCTCGGCGAGGAAGCCAAAATCATTGGTTTTACTAAGATTTTGGCCCCATGTTGGCCTCCTGGGGGGGGGGGCACGCTAATTAATGTTCCCTTCTTGTTCGATCGATCTCCTTCAAGATGGCCCCAAGAAGCGCCAAGGAGGTCCCAAGAGGTCCCAGGATGGCCCCAAGATGGCCCCAAAAGGCCCCCAAGAGGCCCCCAGGAGGCCCCCAAGAGACCCCCAAGAGGCCCCAAGAGACCCCCCAGGCACCCAAGATGCTCCAAGAGGCCTCGGCGAGAATGCCAAAACGGCCTCGGCGAGGAAGCCAAATTCATTGATTTGATTAGGGTTTGGGCCCCATTTTGGCCTCCTGGGGGGGCGAGGCTAAATAATGCTCCCTTCTTGTTCGATCGATCTCCTTCAAGATGGCCCCAAGAAGCGCCAAGGAGGTCCCAAGAGGTCCCAGGATGGCCCCAAGATGGCCCCAAGAGGCCCCCAAGAGGCCCCCAGGAGGCCCCCAAGAGACCCCCAAGAGGCCCCAAGAGACCCCCCAGAAGCACCCAAGATGCTCCAAGAGGCCTCGGCGAGAATGCCAAAACGGCCTCGGCGAGGAAGCCAAAATCATTGATTTGATTGGGGGTTGGGCCCCATTTTGGCCTCCTGGTGGGTGACGCTACTTCATACTCTCCTCTTGTTTGATAGATCTAGGTCCCAAGATGGCCCCAAGAGGCCCCCTGGAGGCCCCCAAGAGACCCCCAAGAGGCCCCAAGAGACCCCCCAGAGGCACACAGGATGCTCCAAGAGGCCTCGGCGAGAATGCCAGATCATTGATTTCACGAAGGTTTTAGCCACATGTTGGCCTCTTGGGGGGGAGCACTGATTAAGATGACTCCAAGAGCGCCTGGGTGAGCCCAAGATGACCTCCAAGATGGCTCCAAATATCCCAAGATGTCTCCTAATGGCTTCCTCCGTGTGTTGCCCATTTCCCTGATCCAGGCAATTCCTTTGGGCATCGTTTCTGGATGGGCTGGTGGGGATTATTTTTTGTCAGCGGCCGTAGGCGAAGGCGCCGACGGCGTGCCCAGTCAGACCGGGGCGCGCAAAGGCGAATTAACCGAAAGCCAACGGGCCGCAGCGTCACGCGGCACCTCGGCGGCCAGGCCGGCGAGTGGAGGCAGGCTGCAGACGGCGGCTGCCGGGGTAGCTGCACTGCCAAGGGCGCACGCGTGCATCGAGCTGCGGGGGACGGGCAGGGAGGCCAGGACAGAGCTGAGGGGAACTGCCAGCGCGCACAGCTGCAAGTCAGTCGGAGATGTCACGCGTCGGAAAGTCAACGACGGCCAGGGACAACTCCGAGAAAGAAAAGAGTTGCAAGGGCGCAAGCCTCCGGACTACTACGAAGGTACCAGGGTGGCCGCAGCCAACTGAACCGACTGACGCAAGTCGAATTGGGTGCCCAGAGGGGGCGTGAGCATCGGCAAGCTGCAAAGTACCAGGGTGGCCGGGGCCAGGAGGTCCAACAGCAGCAGAACGCACAAGTGCGAGGAGCAGCCGGAGCTGCAGCGCGGCCAAAATGGCGCGTGGGCACCACGGAAGAGGCCGCGGAAACAACTCGGGAACCCAAGCTGCGACCCGAAGCCTGACGGGTGCAAGAGGTGGCGCCAGCGAAGTCGCGCACCAGAAGCCCTGAACCGGGAACGCGTGCCCGCAGTCAGCACACCGGGGGCGGCGACAGACGTGCACTGACACCGCGGGGGGAACTCCAGTACTGAAACCAGGGTTGCAACCGCGGCGCGGCGGGGCCACAGGACGCCTCGGCTGAAACACAGACGTCCATAGCCCCCCACCAAGGGGGAGGAAAACCGCGACATGGGCAGAAAATCAGAGAGGCCAGGGACGGCGGAGGACGACACCACCGAACTGGCTGGGAGACCGGGAGCCAAGCCGGGGGGGGGGCACCCCGGCACGGCAGGGCGCCCGGGGGCGCGGGGGAGGGACGCGCCAAGAGTGAGCAACTACAGCAGGCCGAAGGCCGTCGGGGGACAGGTGGACCGCGGCCCCAGCGGTAGTCCACGAGCCAGTATTGTCAGCAGGCCGCTGCCCGTTTTCCCAAAGGCGGGGAGCAGCGGGGGCTGGGCAGGGAGTGGCACCAGGAAAAAAGCACTGCCTGCAAGCCCGGCGACGTCCACAGCAAGGACTGCAGCCATCGCGTCTAGGGTGAAACGTGGGGTGCCAGGTGAGCGTCGCGTCTGGTCTGATGCGTCGGGGCTCAGTTGGAGAGTCGGAGGCGCAACCGCGGCGAACCCTGCTGTCCCGACGGATCCTGCACCACTTGGGGAGGCCTGCAGTCACCCAGGGGTGCCCGATGGGCGCCGGGGCCCACGCGTCGGGGGCACGTGTTCCAATGCAGCCTGCGAGGGAAAGGGAGGGTACACCCTGCAATCTGTCGCCACTGCGAGCTGCATTCGTAGCGGTGGAACCATCAACTTGACGATTTTCTGCCACACGGCCCTGCTAGGGCCACTGCGGGGGCTGCCGTTGGAGCCACCGATGGAGCAGCCGTCGGAGCCACCGTCGGGGACTTTGTCGGAGATGCTGTGGGCACCACGGTTGGAGAGGCCGTTGGCACTGCCGTCGGAGCTGATGATGGAGCGGCTGTCGGTTCTGCGGTGGGGACTGCCGCGGGGGCTGTTGTTGGAGCTGTCGTTGGAGCTGCTGTCGGCGCTGCCGTCGGGGCTGCTGCGGGCGCGGCCGTCGGAGCCGCCGTCGGGGCTGCTGTTGGCGCTACTGTAGGGGCCGCCGTCGGGGCTGCTGTTGGCGCCGCTGTTGGTTCCGCCGTTGGCGCTATCGTGAGAGCTGTTGTTGGCACTGCCGTCGGGG